AATTAAATAAGTTCTAAAGTATGGGTAATAAAACAATATTACCAATATATGTATAAAGATCAAACAAAAATGAAAAACAAATAATAAATTTATATTCTTATTTTTTTTAATTAAATAAAAATATGGGTAATAAAACAATATTTTTTATATTTATAATTATGTGAGTTCTAAAGTATAGATTAAATACTATATTCATAGTAGTATTTAAAATTAAATAATCAATAAAACTATATCAGTCCTATAAATAAAACACATTATTTGCGTATTCTATTATTGTGATTATTTATAATAAAATACATTATTAATTTATTACTTATATTATTTTGCAAGTTAACTTATTGTGATCATTTTAAGTTAAAATACATTATTTATTTATCACATATGTTTTCATTTGATTAAATATATTGAATAATGTAAACTTATATCCTATATTTAAATTTATTTTATTTATTAATGTTTAAAGTTAATAAGATATTTGAGAAAATTTTACTATTATGATCATTTAAAATAAATAATTTTAATCTCATTGTATTCTAATAATTATAGCAAATAGAAAATATTCTGAAAATAATTCTCTATTTATAGAATTTTTATATTTTAAATATAATATTCAAAAATTCACTAAATTGGTCTTTATATAAAGTTAATAAATCTTAAATATTAATTACAAATTAAAAAAAAATATGAACCGGAAGACTTCAAAAAGTCTTCCGATAAACAAACGAAAAAATATGAACCGGAAGACTTCCAAAAAGTCTTCCGGTAAACCTACGAAAAAATTCTGAACCAGAACACTTCCAAAAAATCTTCCGGTAAACAAATAAAAAAATATAAAAAAATTAAAAAATAATAAATTTTTATACGAGGATATTTTAGTTCAAAAATTTTTAATATAGGGATATAAGTACAAGTGTAGGGGTATGCCAAAGGTTGGGGGGTTTCTGAAGAAAAAACACGGGCTCTAAGGCCCAATCTCCCTTAGCAACCCACCGACAAGTAATCAAAGACATTAATGCATTTAACTCATATTTTCTGAAACAGAACAAAGCCGCACAATCGTACACGACCGGTAGTAAAATCCACGCTACGATAAATCAAACCGCGAGCTCCTCTACACAACATAAATTTTAATCGTTTCGGCCCTCTTTTCCTGCACCTTGGTTTGAATCAAGTTTGCGCCATCTCAGATTTCGACATTCTTTTTCGTTTTGTTGGAAAACTCTCTTCATCTCATCTTGATTTTCTGGGTTTTTTCTTGGTAGTGACGGGTTTTGAAATGGTTGAAGATTGTAATAGAGTTTGTATGGTTTGTTTGGATTTACGGTTGAAAGCAGTTGTTGATCTAAATGGGTGAGTTTGGAAACGGGTTGGGTTTGTCGCGGTATTTCGGAAGTTTGTGAAAATGGGTCTATGGTTTGAAGTTTGGAAGTTCATGAGGTTGAAGGTAGTGGCCGGTTGTTTATGGTTTGAAAGGAGAAGATGGAAGTGGGTTTAGTGGGTTCCATTGAAGAGGGTTTGAGTTTGGTTCGTTGAAGATGATGGTGATCTTGGAGGTGTTAAACGTTTGTGGTTGTTTTTTTTTGTTTGAGAAAAGGTTGAGAAGGGGTTCTGATTGTTTTCAGCCGAAGAATGGTTTTTCAGCCCTCAGGAAATGGTTATGGGACCAATTTTGTAGTGTTTGAAAAATGATGTTAAGGATGAGTGGAGCCAACCATTTGTGAGTTGTTGCAAATTGTAGATCGTACAAGTTAAGGGTGGGAGGCCGCACATTTTGGACAGGTTTTGTCGGCGTCTTGCGTGCTATTGGTATGTACGTTTGTAGGTCTTGGCGTTATATGGTTTTGCTTTCAATTTTGGTACGTGTTGTACAACCCTTTCTTCCGTACTCTGTGCAAATTGGTGGTCCCTCTATTTTCTCCTCTGAAATCAGCTTTTGTACCAGGTTTTTGTGCTTGGTAGTGGTCTCTCTTCATTGCTGTTTGTGCTGCGTTACAGGGGTTGGATGTAGCAGCTGTTGTATTTGTCGTGTTTCACATTTGAAAACAAAAGGACTGTTGTGGTGAAGAGACGTCCGTGTGGTCTGTGAAACGGTACAAGTTGGAATTGTACGAAGTTTTCGCGTGGGGTCCTCTTTCCTTTATGCCGATGGCCTTGTTTTTGTATGATTTTGCAGGAATGTTGTTATGTCTTGGATGCAATATTTGTTGTGGGTTTGGCAAAGTGCACTTTGTAAATTCTGCATCAAAACGTGGCCTGAAAGTAAATTCCGTAGCTTGCTGCCCCGACCTGCTGCCGGCGCTGATGCTGCTTACCACTTTTCTTTCTTTTATTTTTTCAGATCTTGTCTATTGTGTGGGTACTGATGACGTTTTGCGCATATCGTTTGGGGAAACAAGTTATGGTACGAAACGAACACGACCTGCTGCGGATTCTACAATTCTCTGCATTGCCTTTTGCTGTTTGCAGGTTATTTGGAAGGTTAGTGGATGAATTGTGTTACGGTTTTGAAGTTGCGGCCATGGCGTGAGAGTCGTAACAACTTGCTGGTTTTGCAAATTACCTCCATGTCTTGTTTGTTGCATTTCACAGGTTATGGTTCATGAATCACACGCTGGTGCTACCAGCTTTGCATAGTAGGATGGTTGGGATCTTTGAAGTGGCTGCTAGAATTGCCTTTTGGGGAGGTCTTTTGTGAGCTATGATGTGCAGTCTTCCTTGTGGGGTCATGGAGCTAGAATTTTCCGCAAAATTGGTGTCGTTGTGATGCGTTATATGCGCAAATCATACTGCTGTTATCGCGTGTATGGCTGCTCAAGTATTGTTGCGGCATCTGCTGAAATGTAGAAGGTACGATCTCAGCGCAGGCGGTAAACCGCGGTTTAAGGTATATCCCATTAGCTGTACTGCTCTTATTTTTTTGAATGCATAATTACCTAATTATTCTTCATCTTCTTTTTTTCATGTGAGCACTCATGGGGACTTGGCATGACAAAGGTTTGATATGGTGAGGATAAAAAACATCGACATTCTCGCGGAAGCTTTTCCTTATGTTTCTTGACTGCATCAACAAAGAGCTCTGAACATCATAATTTCCACACGGATCTTGAGTCAGATCTGCCTGCAGCTTTCCTTGCCTTTTCCTCTCGAATAATTGATGAACTTGTTGAAACACGCAACGGCCATGTTGACGAGCAACAACATCAAGTCATAATTTCGCCACAGTCATATGACTTATGTAACTCTCATTGGTCTGATGCCTTGGTTTATCACTCTGTCAAACACTTTATGATAAATTATCGTAACCCTTGTAAACAAACACGACAAGAACTTAATTGTAACGATTTTATAATGATGATAGCATGTATTTCGACATGATGAATTTCTTTCGTAACAGATACTGCCTTGGTGTCCTAAAGATTCGGAAGTTATCCAACTTTCTAGGGCCACTTTGAGGTTTTGGATATTGTATAAAATGCTACTGTAAAACGCATGCCTTTCAGAGATCAAGCAAGAGATAAGTGAGATTTTTGCAGCAACAAGTTTAATTCAAATCCTAAAGTGAATAGCTGCTTTTTTTTTCTTCTCAAAACCTGTTGTCATTTAACCATGATAAACCCAAAATATATTAAGGTTTCCAGCTTGAATTTCATTTGGACTTAGCTTGTGGTACAACTAGCTCTGATCCATATTATGCACACAATTTGTTTACATCCTCTTGTCTTCCTTTTACAACACATAAAAGAACATTCCTCTGTATTCGAAACAAATAGCTAGCGTTGTCTGGAGTACATGACCTACATTCCGAACAACCTTGAAATCACCTGAACTAATAGGCCGGACAATCACCTTGGTAGAGTGTAACGACATTGACGTGTGTAGTTTAATGATCCATGATTTTTGCTACACTTTTCTCTTTTAAATACCCTATAAGGACTCAACTCTTAAAAATAGATTCACACTTGTAATATTTGGAAAGATATCACGCTCAACGTAAATCCATGAATTCATAATTGAATCAATTTCCTGTCTTCTTAAAATGTACGAAATTTGCGTTTAATCATGGATCCATATTTATCTTCTTAAAATGTACAAAATTAGCGTTTAATCATGGATCAATATTGACAACCGTACACACCCGAGCCTTGAACTTTGAAATTTGCTAACCGAAACAATTTTTGGCTCATGTCTAGCAAGCTATTAGCCCTCAAATTTGCTAACCGAAACAATTTTTGACTCATGTCTAGCAAGCTATTAGCCCTCAGTAGACTTTACATTACCCAAACCCTACTTGGTAAATGCACTCATCTTTAAGGATCCTGAGGTGCATTGTCATAACCTGATCATGGAGCGAACCATTGATTGACTAAGATTAGGTTAAAACCAAACAGGTGCATTGTCATAACCTGATCATGGAGTGAACCATTGATTGACTAAGATTAGGTTAAAACCAAACGAACATCAATCCATACCACACTTTTCTGACGTCGAAACAACAAATAGGACAAATTTGAGGTATGACAACTGTCAACTATAATTATTGAGTTTATTTATCATCGATCAGTGGTCATTTTAATAATTCACCATGACGTAGAAATAAATTAAGTTCACAATCATATCTTTACCCGAAACACAAGTGTAAAACTACTCTAATGACAAAAGAGCGAGTTGATAAATTACACTCTAATCGTTAATGACAAAAGAGCGAGTTGATGAATTACACTCTAATCGTTGTTGTCTTTACCACATCATATTAGTTAAATGACTCGATGACTCATGCTAGCAATAGGTAACAAAAAAACTCAAAGATGGCGTGTTTAGCAAGTAACTAAAATTCTAACTACGGTTTTCAAAGATGCTACTAAAACTAGAAAATAATACAAAATAGAAACAATTTAAATAAAAAGTTCAATGCAAACATTATCATAAACTTGAATACTGTTAGGAGAATAAAAATCAACCCAAAGATATACCACTTGAAATCTTAATAAAGAAAAATAAAACTAGCCATTCATGGCTACAAGGTGTTTCAACATGCTCTCAAGCTCCTTCAGATGATTCTCAAGAACATCTATTTCATTTGTGTTGTTATTCCCGGCAAGTAAATTTGTGGCCACCGTAATTGCATTGTTAATCTTCGCACTTTCTTGAGGGGAGAGCTTTAAACTAACATCCTCCTTTAAAGCATTCTTCATATTATAAACACAATAATCCAATCCACTCATTACCTTGGCCTTTCTTAAAAACTTCTTATCTTCAACTTTGTATCTTTCGGCTTCTTCAATCATTTTTTTCATTTCGAGTGTTGACAATCTTTCTCTGTCATTGGTTATAGTGATCTCATTTGTATTGCCAGTAGATACTTCCTTAGCAGAAACACTTAGGACACCATTTTCATCAATGACAAAACATACATCTAAGGGCTGACCCCGAGGAGCACCTGGAAGACAAGAAAGACTGAACATACCAAGTAGGTTGTTATCTGGGGCTCTTGCTCTCTCACCTTCATAAACGTTAATCGGGACACTGCAATGGTTATCTATAGCTGTAACAAATCCTCTAGACATCTTGACAGGTATGGTAGTGTTCCTGGGAATCACCACACTCATGACATCATCAATGCCTGTTGAGATACCAAGTGATAATGGAGTAGCATCTCGCAGCACCAAGTTCGGGGCATTCTTAAAGCCTTCACTCAAAATAGCAGCCTGAACAGCTGCACCATAAGCAACAGCCTCATCCGGATTTATACTCTTGCACAAATCTTTTCCCTTGAAAAAGTCTTGCAACAGATCTTGCACTTTGGGAATCCTGGAGGAGCCACCCACAAGAACAACATCATCTATATCACTATTGCAGATCTTTGAGTCGTTCAAACAACTATCAACAGTTTTCATACATTCATTAAACAAGTCCATATTAATTTCCTCAAACTTGGCACGAGTTATTGATGAAAAGAAGTCAATTCCATGAAATAAAGAATCAACCTCAATTGTGGCTACAAAGGCAAAGGAGAGTGTTCTTTTAGCTTTTTCGCAAGCAGTTCTCAACCTTCTTAAGGCTCTTGGGTTAAGACTAATGTCCACTTTATGTTTCTTCTTGAACTCTTGTACAAAATAATTCACCAATCTGTTATCAAAGTCCTCTCCTCCAAGATGAGTGTTTCCAGCCGTGGCTTTTACTTTAAAGACATCACCTTTAATGGTGAGGATAGACACATCAAAAGTCCCACCACCAAGGTCAAAGACAAAAATATTTCTCTTACCATCACAGTATCTTCTCTTATCAAGACCATATGCAATCGCAGCAGCAGTAGGTTCATTGATTATTCGAATAACATTAAGGCCCGCAATGGTACCAGCATCAATGGTGGCTTTTCGCTGAGAATCATTGAAGTAAGCCGGCACAGTAACAACAACATTCTTGACGGGCGATTCCAGATATGCCTCAGCAAATTCTCGCATCTTTGAAAGAATCATGGATGATATTTCCTCAGCACAAAATTGCTTCTCTTCACCATTATACATGAGGCTAATCATGGGTTTATCATTTATTCCAGGAATAACCTTGAATGGCCACAACAATATATCCTTTCTAACAACTGAATCACTAAACTTCCTACCAATTAATCTTTTAGCATCTGAAAAAAGAAACACAGTATCAATAGCATCAACTTGTCTAACTTAAATAGCAACAAACACTATTAGAGAAAAGAGAAACATACCGAACACAGTATTTTGTGGATTAGATGCAACCTGATTCTTAGCAGCATCACCGATCAACCTTTGATCAGCATTGAAAGCAACAACAGAAGGTGTGGTTCTGTTGCCTTGGTCATTATGAATAATCTCAACTCTATTGTGATCATCGAGCCACACAGCAACACAAGAATATGTTGTACCTAGGTCTATTCCCACGGCACGTCCTTCGTATTTTTTAGCCATTCTCTTCAAGTAAAAGAAAAAAAAGAAGAACGGTTAGGTTTTATTCTTCTACCACTCAAAAACCCTGTCTTTAATAGGAGAGCGTGAAAGTGTGCGTTATACTTTTACGAGGGGTATAATAGGAATAGAAATATATATCATGCCAACAAACATAAAAGTAGTATGCCTAAAATATTCAACAAATCACTAAATATTTATGTACTTTAGGAAATAAATTTTAAATTTAAAAATTAAATGAATATAATATTTAAATAGATTAATATTATTTAATTGGACTATAAGAATCTTTTGGTATAAGTTACTTTATTATTTTATTCTATAAAAAATAAAATCGTAAATTGATTTATTATAAAATAAAATCAATTCTTAATTACTTATTAATTTATAAAATAAGGGGTATTTAAATAGAGTAAAGTGTACTTAAATGCTACAAATATTATGAAATATTTGTATAAATTTTTTGTTCAAAAAGTTGAATATATGACGCACCTGGCAAAATTAAAGTGATCAACAAATTGTGTTCTTTTAGTGAGTGTGGCCCTCAAGCAATGGGCGAGTATTTTAAGCATGAGACAAACATCTAAGTGTCAACGAGGTGATTCCTTAAACATCAGTTGAGTTAAATTGGGCTTTCTAATATTAGGCACAAAGTTGATGTGATTTTGGAGCCACGTGGTGATGAGTAAAGGGCCAAAATGGTCGCCCTAGATAGCTCGCCCATCTCTTACTTTTGTTTGCACCTCCTCGTCATTCACGAATTAAGGGATTCTAATACCCTTCATGTTGTTAGAGGCTGAGTTTTTAGCAAAATACAAATGTTTCTTCCTCACGAGTTACACCTTACGTTTGGAGTATGGTTAGGGCGTTTGAAATCATATGTCGGCGATTGGAAGTCTTCCCTACTGTTGGAGTATTCTTCTCTTTTTATGGCACCAAAATTAGTGCCAAAAGTGGCTAGATGAATTTGTACACCATATCAAGAAGAAAATTGTTCAAGTCTGACTCAAAACCTACCAAAGTTGGAAGAAAAAGGTAGTGAGGGTTAGAGGGCGAGAATGTGCCTCAATGGTCACGATTAGAACGAATGGTACCCCTCGCTTCCCATTGTTATGGAAAAGAGATCCTAATATCATCCTTAGCTTCGACTTTGACTACCTCGTCTCAATTAATAAGAGGTAGTTCAAGTGTTAAGTGACTTTGAAGTTATGGCTTCTCGTGTCGTGATCACTCTCGATCCGGGAGAAGATAACGGGATGAACGATTATTTGGGTGAGTTTATGGTCAAGGGCATCCTTAATTTAAGATTGTTTATTAGTAACAATGCTTATATTTTGTGTCTTTCTTGTAGGTAAAATGTATAAAAAAAATCTTGTTGAAAGGAAGGAGTGTCTGGCTAGGAAGAAGGATGAACTCCAACTATCAAATAGCCCCAAGAGCCACCTAGGCGGCATAATAATGAGATAGGATAGAAAGTCTGCTGAGGATCCAAATCTTGTTGTTGTTGTCCACCTAAGACCCAAAAAAAGTGAGAGTCATGCTTAAGTTCCGAAGGACAAACAAATGATAATTCCTGAATAAGGTAAGGCGGATGGGGACCCTTCGCCGGAAAAAGACGAGTCTCCCCTAACTCTCTTTATGAAGGTATCCCATGTTTGATGCCCTTAAGATCAATGGGGCTTGACTCTCTTTTCCTCAAGACTTCCTTGTTGACTACCAGGTCATCCATAAAATTTTATCCCTCAAACTATCAAACTAGGCAAATAATCATTTGCTGCAGGGTATCCTGATCGAGTGAGGTTCAACGAGAAAAACATGGGACAAACCTCAAGCAATGGTCGTGTCCTTTAAGCATGGGATAAACCTCTAAGTGTCAATGAGGTGGTTCCTCAAACATCAACTGAGTCAAACCGGGTTTTCTAATACTAGGCACGAAGTTGATGTGATTTTGGAGCCATCTTGTAATGAGGAAAGGGCCTAAATTGCAACCCTAGATAGCTCGCACGTCTCTTACTTCTTTTTGCACCTTCTTGCCATTCACGAATTAAAGGATTCTAATACCCTTCATATTGTTAGAGGCTGAGTTTTTAGCGAATACAAATGTTTCTTCCTCACGAGTTACACCCAACGTCTGGAGCATGGTTAGGGCTTTGGAAATCATATGTCGGTAATTGGAAGTCTTCCCTACTGTTGGAGTATTCTTCTCTTTTTATGGCACCAAAATCAGCGCCAAAAATGGCTAGATGACCTTGTGCACCATATTAAAAAGAAAATTGTTCAAGCCTGACTCAAAACCCTACAAAAGTTGGAAGAAAAAGTTTGTGAGGATTAGAGGGCGAGATTGTGCCTCAATGGTCACGATTATGATGAATAGTACCCCTCGCTTCCCATTGTTATGGACAAGAGATCCTAAGATCATCCTTAGCTTTGACTTTGACTACCTCGCCTCAATTAATAAGAGGTTTTTCAAGTGTTAAGTGACTTTGAAGTTATGACTTCTCGTGTCGTGATCACTCTCGATCTGGGAGAAGATAACGATATGAACGATTATTTAGGTGAGTTTAATGGTCAAGGGCATCCTTAATTTTAGACTGTTTATTAGTAACAATGCTTATGTTTTCTATGTATTTCCTATAGATAAAATGTGTAAAATTTCTCTTGTTAAAAGGAAGGAGTGTCTGGCTAGGAAGAAGGATGAACGCCAACTATCAAATAGTCCTAAGAGCCACCTAGGCGGCATAGTAATAAGATAGGGCAGAAGGCCTGCTGAGGGTCCAACTCTTGTGGTTGTTGTCCACCTGTTCGCACGCAGTTTTCGTGCGAATAACCTCTGAACTTCTAACACAGGTTTACTTGCGGGACCGGCCAAACAAGTCCCAGAATACTGGTTTGTAATGTATGGGAAAATGGTGGAATGGTGTTGTTTGGAATAGGTTGAATATTACTTCTAGAAAAGACTGTAAAATGTAACTAAAGATGAATGTGTAAACTAAAAGAGCCAAAAATAACAAGACAAAACACTTTAAAGTTAATGATATAAATTCCTTATTAAGAAGAAAGATGGGCATGGTCATACATTTTGCAGGAATGAAAACTCTTTTCTCTTAACGCTTAGTACTCAGAGCGTTTTTTCCCTTACAATGTTACAAAAATGCGCCCCCTCAAATGAAATCGGGAATTGCCTTAAATAGAGAAATAAAATAATGGTCATGTTAAAGTTAGTGGCGCCACGTGTTCGTCCACCACTTTTGTAACCTCCCACGTTTTCAGCTTTCAAATCTGTTTCCCACTCAAATATTTTTTCTTCCTTGTGTTGGCTTCTCTGTCCGTCAGTCGACCCTGTCGACCGACGCCGTCTGAGTCAACCCAACATCCCTCTTCTGCCGACGTCGACTTACCTCATTCTCTTTACCATATTTCCCAGTCAGTCTTTGTGTCGCCTCTCTTTAGTCGAAACTTCCAGCCAATAAGATGCCCCCTCAAAACCTAATTTCAAAGGAATACTCTGTCGACCAAGAAACTGCGTGTTTTGGTTCTATGGAATTTCGACCGCGTTTTGGTTATGACACAGTAAAAACCATCATTGTTTTTCCGTCAATTCAGTCACGCGTCACCCACAGTCTGACATGAAGATGGCGCCTTTCTGTGCCACGATTTCCAAGACAAAGCTAATCATGTTGCAACTGTACTCTCAGAATCATAAACGTCTTTGGACCACCCCCACTTACTCTCAGAATCATAAACGTCTTTTTTTGCCTTTTCAACTGTACACAATATTGCATATAAATAGCTCATTTCACCTTTTGTTTCTCTTTTCTAACTCTTCTCTCGTTTCCACTTTCTTGAAAACCCTTATCTCCAAAGTTCTTCAACTTTCTTTCCAATGGCTTTTTTGGATTCTGACGGACCTCTACCAGCTCAGGAGGTTATCGACCAAGAAGTATCTCAAGGGATATCCCACGTCGAAACTGCCATCACGCTAAAGAAGACCATCGACCAAATGCGGCAAAAAAATTCTCTTGGAAAGCAAAGTGGATCATGAGAGGACCCTTTTTGAAGATTTCAAGTCCATGTTTCCAGCATAGTCGTATTGTCTTTTAGTTGAAAAAATATTTATTATTATTTTTGTTGTAACTCCATTATGGAGCTATTTTGTAACTGTGTTAGTCTTCCAATTATTAATGAACATTATTTTGGATTTGAACTTCTTATAACATAGGTCTATATTTTTTCAAATATTTCCCATTTACTCTTATGATTTGTTGATCCTCACCCATCTCTTGAACCTCGTACGCATTATTGATGAATGTTTGGGTTACTTGGAATGGTCCTTCCCAATTTGGTGACCACTTTCCTAACCTTCGATCTCGTCGATCCACAGGAAAAACCATCTTCCACATATAGTCATTAACTGCAAAGGTCTTTTTCCTGACCTTCTTATTGTATGTTTTGTCCACTCGTGCCTTTTGGCATAGTAACCTGTCTAGCGCTACTATCCTTTCTTCGTCTAAGTCCGTAATTTCGTCTAGCATCATGCTCCAATATTGCTCTGACGGGATGTCATGCTGACGTTGCACCCTAATTGACTATAGATACATTTCTGTTGGGAAAATAGCATCATGACCAAAAGTCAAACAGAACGGAGTTGAATTGGTAAACTCCTTAGGAGACGTTCGATAGGCCCACAAAATTTGATCCAACTTCTCATACCAGTTCTTAGGTTTCTTAGCAATGTGCTTCTTAATGAGTCAAATTACCACCTTGTTGGTAGCTTCAACTTGCCTGTTTTCCTGAGTATAATACGGTGTCGAAGTGATCAACCTAAACCCTGTCTCTGCTGCAAATTCCTGCATCTTCTGGCCAACAAACATGGAACCTTGGTCCGTCGTGATGGTTTCAGGAATCCCGAACTTGTAAAAAATGTGGTTAAGGATGAATTCAATCACAGTCTCTTGGTCTACTTTTACCAAAGGTATAACCTTTATCCACTTTGTGAAATAATC